AGGAAGGGTGATGATTGAAACTGTTCTATGAAAACAATGGATAAAGCTTCAGCTTATATGAAAATGAAATAGTAATCTTGAAGCATAGATGGAGTGACCAGGGGGCAGGGAGACAGAAGAGCTTTATGTAGATGAAGGAAGCCAATATTGACATTGGGAATGTCTCCATCTATATATCCAACGAGGTGTGGGCATTCTCTGAGCATTTTGGTTCAGTTCTTTTCTAATTTCTATGTTCATAGCGATTCTGCCAGAGATCTTGTTATGCAGATCCTAATTAAGTAGGGCTAGGGTTAGGCCTGAGGGTGGCCTAATCAGTAGAGAGTTGTTCTGCCAATCTAAAATTGAGTGATTTGAATCCACTGGGGCTCCACGGGAGACAGATGGGTGATCTCCTTTATGTGATTTATAGCCTCTGAAAACCAATTGGAGGGTCAGCGATGAGTCAGTCCCAACTTAATGGCAATGAGAGAGTTTTGTTCTTGGAGTGTTACACTCAAGAATTTACATTACTAACAAGCTCCCATGTGATGCTGACGCTGCCAATCCAGTGACCACGACTTGAGCTGTGTGGTTTCAAGTCATTTCCATTATGTTATCATGAAGGTTGACTACAGGTGTTCCTTGGTCAGTTTCCTCCAGCAATTTGAAAGTGGAACAGATGAACTGCTGACTTATTTGAGAAGTGAAACAGTTTTGCTCATTCAGAAATTTGAGGGGTTGGGGAGGGATAGGAAATTGTTAATATAAGATGAGTTAATGACGAGAAGTTTGCTGTGCCATTGACACCGGGTTCAGACAGTGAAGTAGGTAAGAACTTTTGAAGTGGCACTCAGGTTCCTGCTACTTAACTGAAAGTAAGATAAGATCAGATTCGTTAGGAAACAATTTTTTTTTCAAAACAGACTTCTTTGTTTTGATGAAATGAGCCTGAGTGATGGTAGAAGATAAATTCACTGTACTTTTTTTTTTTTCTTTCTCCAGAGGCCTGCTATTTTAGAAAGTGAAAAACTGGCTGAGTAGAATTTTGCTTGCATTGTTATTCAAATTTTAAACAATGAATTTTCATGTCACCCTTGTTTTTATTGTTGGGTGCTGTCTAGTTGGTTTGACTCCTAATGACTCCCTTACAAGGGAAACACCATCTGGTCAAGTGACAGCCTTACAATCATTTGTCAAGTTTGAGCCCATTGTTTGAGCCAATCTTTTTCAATGATAGTCTTCCTCTTGTTTGTTCACCGACTCTCTATTTTACCAAGCATTATGTCTTTCTTCAAGGACTGATCTCTCCTGAAGACACGTCCAGGGTACATAAGCCAAAGTGTTGCCCTCATCACTTCTTAGGAACATTCTGGCTGTACTTCTAAGCCATATCTGTTCATTCTTTGGTGTTCTGTGGTATACAGACTTATTGTTATGAATCATTTCCCATAGTTAGTGAAGAGCACTGAAATGGGCTGCCAAAGAACAAACAAATCCGTCTTGGAAGACATGCAGTCAGGGTGCTCCTTAGAGGCAAGGGCGGAGAGATTTTGTCTCTCTCCCTTTGAAAAAAGAACATTTTTGGGGAAAGCGGAGGGTCAGCCAAGGAGAGACTACCCTCCATGAGAGTGGTTGACACTGTGACTATACAATGATGGTGTAAAGCACAGTGGCAATTGTGAGGGATTGGGTAATGTTTTGATCTGTTGTATCTAGGGTCGTTATTAGTCACAGTTGACGTAACAGAACCTAACAACAACAACAACGGAGAAAATGAAGCTAACGCTGTATGCTTTTTCTTTGCTTCAGTCTCCATTTTGCTGTGTGACTAAAAAAAACTCACTTAAAGCCTTAAGTTTTGAGTTCCTGTGGTGAAAAATGGAAATCAAAGCTCTTGCCTTGTTCCCAGTCGAGTACTTACTAAAATCAGCGGGCTTTCAGGTGGATTTGAATTGCTTAAAAAAAGATTTTTGATGCTGTAATATTTTCTATCTATTCAGCATATTAGATATAGGTGTATCTCCAGCGAGTTTTTGTAAGATCTAAGGATTCTGGTAAAAAATGTCATAACAAAAATGAAACATTTCCTATAACACCAGCAATTAAATTGACCTTTTGTCCTGTAAAACAAGTCAAATGAGACAGTTCTGAGCATTTTAGATGATTTTTTTTGCCCTTTAGGTAATCAGCATTGATGATTATTGATTAATGGTATTGGAATTTAACTCGCATATTTAAAGACTTTTTGTTCTGAAAGGAATTAATGACAAATGTGGTCCATTACTCAAGAATGATGACCTTCTGTTTGGAATGTCTTATCATCATTTGTTCTTCTAAGTTTAAACCCATTTATTTTAACCAGAGGTTACTGGAGGTCCTAATCAAATATATACTACTGACCCAAAGAATAAAATAGAATAAAACCCTGAAAAATCTATTCAATAAATACACAGCTCTGATTAATAATTAGAAAGAATTCACTATCAAATTTACCTAACTTTTAGGCAATCTGAAAGTCTGCTAGACAAATTAAGTTACACTATCATATGCACTTGTGCTCTGGTGGCCTAGTGGTAAGCAGCTGTGCGGCAATCCTAAAGGCACATGGTTCGAATCTACTAGCTGCTTCATGAGAGAAGGATGAGCAATTTCCTCTTATGCAATTTACTGCCTCTGAAAACCTGCTGGAGGGTCAGCTGTGATGGCACACAAAACAATAAACAGATGCACTTAAAAATGGTGACTAGTGTATAAATATTTCAGTAGCTAGAGTGAAATGGGCCTACTTCAAACCCAAGCTTTGCTGAATGCCCTTTAACATGGCTTTGGTCACTTAACTTCTCAAAGACTCAATAAAATGAGTCTCACAGTATGAAACTTGTATGATTGTCATGGGGTCCAAAAGAGGTAATGCATGTAAAATTCTTGGTATAGTAGAAATAAATTATACAAGATTATAATATGCAAACACACAAAGTAATAGAGGAGAATACTTACTCCATCTAAAAAGGTGACTTTCAAGTACTTTAGAAGTAAATCCTTACTATTCAACTTACTATCATAGTATTAAAGGGAGCTCTGGTGGCCTAGGGAGTAAAGAGCTGTACTGCCAACTTCAAGGCAAGTGGTTCAAATCCACCAGTTGTGCTCTGTGGAAAAAAGATGGGTAATCTCCTCTCATGCAATTTACTGCCTCTGAAAACCTGCTGGAGGGTCAGCTATGAGTTGGTTCCCACGAGATAGCACATAATAATAACAATAACATCATCCTTGATGGTACAATGGTTAAGCATTGAACTGTTAACCAAAATGTTAGTGGTTTAGACTCACGAAGCAGCTCAATGAGAGAAAATCCTGCTGATCTACTCCTGTAAAGACTTCAGCCGTTGAAATTCTTACGGGGCAGTCCTACTCTGACCTATAGGATCACTATGAGTATGGAATTGACTTGATGGCACACAACAACAATAGCATATTAAAAAGCAATCTGGTATATATGTTGTTGTTGATTGTCCATCTTTCTCCTGCAGAGCGGCTGATGGATTTTAACCTGGTGCCTTTGGGTTGTTGGCGGTGGAGCTCCTTACCAGAACTTCCAGGCCTCCAGAACTTCATGTTGCTGTTGTGTGCCCTCAAGTGGGAACTGACTTATAGCTGACCCTTGAGTGGATTTTCAGAGGCAGTAAACTACATCGGAGGAGACGGCCACTCCATTGGAGTGGCTGGTGGCTTGGTGGGAAGGGGTTGTGCTGTCAACACCAAGGAACACAGTTCGAATTCACCAGCCACTCCAACGGAATATTCTAGTATATTGTTGTCGTTGTGTGCCATTGAGTAGGAACAGACTAATAGCTGATCCTCCAGCAGGTTTTCAGAGGCAGTAAATTGCACTGGGGAGAGATTGCCAATCTTCTTCCCATGTAGCAGCTGGTAGATTCTCACTGTCCACCTTTAGATTGGCAATGCAACTCTTTACTCACGAGATCATCAGAGCTCTGTTATAGAGTATATGTTTGTTGTTGTGTATCATCAAGTCAAAACTGACCCATTGCTGGCCCTCCAGCAGGTTTTCAGAGGCATTAATCACACGGGAGATTGCCTACATTTCTCCCACAGAGCAGCTGGTAGATTTGAACCGCGTGCCTTTGAGATTGCAGCACAGCTTCTTGCCACTAGGCCACCAGAACTCCCTTACCTAGTATATGTTGTGTACCATCGAGTCAGAACGGACCTGTAGCTGACCCTCCAGTGGATTTTCAGAGGCAGTAATTGTACGGGAGGAGATTGCCCTAATACTATATTACTATGTATTATAATATTATTATGTATTATAATAACCCAAACTCATGGCCATCGAGTCAAAACTGACTCATAGCTGACCCTGCAGCAGATTTTCAGAATCTAAAAAATTGCATGGAAGGAGATTGCCCATTCCCCCTTTCCATTGTGAAAAGGATCTGCTGGTGGATTCAAATCACCAGAGAGGCGTGACCTTTGGGTTAGTGGCACATCTCACTACAGATTATGACACTAGAGCTCTCTCAATATTAGAATAATATTAGTATTATCATTAATATTACTAGTTTAAAGTAGGCCTGGCAGTACCTTAACCCAGTGAAATAATGTCTTCCCTGTGGTGCTTTATATGTGGTTAAAGAGAATATAAACCTCAATGTGTTCACACTTTTTAATAATTCTATTTTTACCAATTCCAATAGGTTCCTAATTTCCTTTGGTCCAAATGGTCTTTCAACTAAATTAATCAGGAATATGAGCTAGCCACATTAGAAAAAAAAAACAAACAAACAACAAGACAAGACTCGGAATTGTGACCAGATAGAAGATAAGGTTATTTACATCAACAAGTTAGATTTGCCAGCATTTCTGCCTATGAACTCAATGGTGTCATATGAATGTGTTTAAATATATGTGATATTTATATGTAATGGCAAACTCAATTTGAGAGCACCCTTTGTTCTTTTGACCTTTGTCAGTAATGGAAGTTTATTCTTTCACAGGTACCAAGGTTACATTTATACATACCGAGTATTCCAGTCAAAAACAGGTTCTTGGAGTGCTGAGGTATAGCTCTTTTATTTACTTTTGCTTCAGTGGGCATCAGGGAGGTGCTTGGAATTTTGACTGGGTTTATCAACACAAAATCAAATCATCCATCACCGAAGTATTCATCAGATTCAGAGCTGGAAAGCCCCAGTTCTAAATTGTTCATGGATCATTAAGAAGCTTTGAGAGAATTCTAGTCCCTGTCTTGCCCTTGATATAAGAGTGGTATGACCTTGGGGGAAAGATTTCAAAAGCTGAAGGATTGAGTTGAACTTTCTTTGGAAAGTATATCAAAAGTATATAAACCCAACCCCCCAAGTGAAATTATTAAGCCAGCAATTCTTTGCTGAATGATACTAATACAAGTTTCAGTGTTATGGAGTAGGATGAGGTGGGGGAAGAGGAGATTAAAAACCATGAATCCTATTTTCTAAAATTCTTGGAGAGATACTGAGTGGTCCCAGGTCCTATGTCTGATCCCCTTATCCCTGCCTGATAGCTTCATGACCCTTAGAAGGCAACTTAACTTTTCTGTGACAAAGTGTCTTTATCTGAAAAATGAATATAAGAGTAATCCCTTATTTAAAGAGTTCATTTTGAGGATTAAATGAGATAATGCACAAAAAGGAAGATCTTAGCCACTCGGCCTAGCATGGTGTCAGCCTTCAAAAACTGAGCTCTCCCAAACTGTGGGATTGTATATTGTTGTCATGTGCTGTCCAGTTGGAATCAACTTCTAGCTGACCCTTCAGCGGGTTTTCAGAGGTCATAAATCATGCAGGAAGAGACTGCTCATCTTTCCCTTAGAGCAGCTGGTGGTGCAATTCCTTATCTACCAGGCCACCAGAGTGCCCAATGGATGTATATAGTCAGGGGCTTAGTTAGGCAGCACAGGACTTCAGACAAAGGAAGGCTTCCCAAGGGTTAGCGCTATAGCGGAAGCTCGACTCAGCACTGAGCCATGTGGGCAGTGCTCAGATAAGAGAATAGAACCCAGCAAACACTGCAGTGCTTTTAAAATTAGACTCTGCAGAGTCTTAGTGTTCTTTCAGCTGGCTGCTTTCGGGGCATGATTAGGGCTGCCTGAGAATCGGGGGTGGCAGAAGGAGAGAGGAGGCAAATGGGTATATGCTTTCGGTTCCCAAGCTAGCTTCAATCTGAACATTTTCCTTTTATCCTTTTCTTATCAGAAAGACAGACAGACAGAGAGAGAGAGACCCCTACTGCTTTAAAGTCACTGTATCACTCCATAAAGTATCTGTGGGGTGAATCCCCTTTCATAAACCAGGGTTGTATGTCAGCTTGGTCTACTCGAAAAGTCTCTACAACAAAAACTTTCAATCCTGGGTGCTTTTCCTTTCTCCTGATTCTATGATGAATGCACTTCGTTATGAGCTATTTGGAAGCATAAATACTAACCGGTCCCTATTAATAACTAGACTTAAAAAGAGACCCAATCTAACCTTTGCACATTCATACATAATCTAAGTTACACAAATTGTAGACTGCAGATATTTTGAACTGCTAAAATGAACTAGAACACATTTTCAAAAATCCTGTAAATTTTTTACCAGGATACAACCAGATAGAGGAAAATCAGTAGCATTTCTGATAAAAACTATTTACATCTGTTTTTAAAAAATTCTCTGCATCTCTGTTGAGAAGATTGAATAAGAAATCATAATTAATTTACTATGAAGACTGTGTATATGATAATAGGTATATACATATCTGTGTGGTGGTGGTGGTGTTGATGATTGCCATCGAGTCAAGCACAACTCATAGCAACCCTATGAACAAAACTATCGACATTTATCAAAGTTCATAGAGTTTCCGGAGGCATGTTGTTTAGGAAGTGGATGACATTACTGCTTCCAATGTCTGTGTATTATTTTACCAGAAATAGCCCTTCTTAGAGGAGTAGACTTCAGCTGCTGAAGAATGTTCTTTTCAATAAAAAGATCTCAAGTTTTTAGAGTTTAGCAACCTGATTTTTAAACTTCCTTTGCTTTCTTTCAACTGTAACATCACACATAGCTTGTTGAGTACTTCTCAGATCATGTTAAGGAACACTGAGTGTTCTGGTCCCATATATATATAATGTTGTCGTTGTGTACTATTAAGTCAAAACCGGCCCATAGCTGACCCTCTAGCAAGTTTTCAGAGGCAGTTAATTGCACAGGAGAAGATTGTCCATTTTTTTCTCTTGCCAAATAGCTGGTGATTTGAACCGTGTGCTTTAAAGGACTGCAACACAGCTTCTTACCACTAGGTCACCAGAGCTCCCTATTTAGATAATAATGTTGCAATTCTATTCATTAAAAGACCAGAAGCTGGACATGGATTAAGCCTCAAATGAAAATAAATAAAAAAAGCTCTTCAGATTTATTTGAATTTATTTTCTTAAGATTTATTTTTGAAATGCTTATTACATCTTTTTACAGCCTACTAAATCCACCTTCTAAGTTGTTTTGTTGAGGTGAATATTAAATTAGTGTGTATTCTCAGAGCTCTTACCAGCTGACTGGAAGAACTCTCTCAGGAGCATATTGAAGACCAGCTGTGATCCAAAACATGTTTTCCTGGATAACTAAGAGGTGACAGTGTAAGAAATGTGTAAATTTGAACAATAGCTAGGTTCAGCGACAGGATGGGAGTTGTCAGTGGTGTGATTCTGTGGTAAAGCTATTCTCACAATTGGGTAAATGATAGATATTTATATACTGCTTTGAGGAACAATTCTTTGGTACATCACAGTGCAGGAAAAATCATGTCACTGTCTTTGTAAAGATTATACTAGAAATCTAGGGAAGTCTGAAAGTTGTTGCAAAGAGGAGAATGAAAATGAATCCCAGGTTGACTGAGTTAGGAAGGAAAAAAATATGTATGTTTCTACTTTTAGATAGGCTTTTTCAATTTGCTCACTGCAGAGTGTAATGACTTAGCCAAACATTTCAAGCTAAAATTTTACTGTGTTATAGTTAGCTTAGGAAATATTACAGCCAGCCAACGTATCACATATTAATATTAATTGTCAGCAGTACGTGTTTAACACAAGGCTGCCCTCCCTCTGCTAACTTATTTCAGAGCCTTGGGGTTTCTTTTGGCATTTGTTTATCAGTAGATGCTAAATAATTTTACTTAGTAATCTAAGAAAAACACTATAAATTAGGTCTGCCAGTTTCCAGTGACACAGAATATACTAAATTCGGACAGCTTTTCCATACCCGTGTTATTATTCCTGCCTGTTTGCACAATGTTAACTGTGCATCAGTCCTCCTAAAAACGAAAAAAAAAATGTTCCTGTTGATAAATTCTTTCACAAGCCTCAACAACAGTTACAAAGACACTTGGTTTGAAATCTTTCCAATCTGAGGGAGTGTGTGATTTCTCATCTGGTTAGTAATTAGTGATACTAGAACCTGCCTGGTACAGTCCTAATCTGAGAAGACAAAGAGGCCAGGTGCTGAGATCAAGTGCCAATGCGGCCCCTCCTTGTTCCTGGGACCTTGGGCAAACTGATTAATCTCTTGTACTTCCAATTTCTTATCTGTCAAATGAAAAGAACTGAATCAGGCGGTGACCCTGGTCGGTGGAAGAAATAAGGGGGCAAGAAATGGGAAAGTACTTTGAAAATGAAATGGAAAAAGTTCTATGGTAGGCCTAAGGAGGCGTTCTGTCTTTAGCCTACCTTTGTAATTTGTAAATGCAATTTTGGAGTCAAAGGACTGTTTGAGCCACTGAAAGAACAGCTGGGGATTATTTCACATAAGATCTCAGTAGAGTTTAGGGAAGCTGTTTCGACCATAGGGATGGAGCTAAGTGAACCAGTGTTTTACATCTACTGAGGCTCCTGGCTCTGGGAGCCCATGGGTGAATACTGAGTTAGAATTGAAAAGAACATTCTATTGTAACTTTTGCATTGTTTTGTATGAAAAATTACTCCCTCCAGGGTAGAAAATGACCAAGGCTAACTATAACCACCACACTATCTTCAGCTTTTAGTCTCGTTGACAGAAGTTTGCCTGCTAGCCTTCACATTTTCTCATTAAATGCTGCCAAACAAACAGCTCCCACCTCAAAAAACCTTCCAGATGGAATAGCTAAAAACAACTTTTTTTTTTTAAAAGGCTAGTCATTGTTCATTCGCTCCTGGCAATACTATTTTATTTCATGCAAAATGACAATTCTGAGCTGCATGCCTAAAGCTTGGCTCGTGAGCCTTTGAGGGCAATTGTGAGTGTCTTTACAAGAGAACAGGTGTCAGGAAAGGAATCCATCTTAATAGTAACCTACAAATAATGACCGCTTTAAAAATGGAATGAGTACAAAAGGAAGAGTGACCTTATAGAGTCTTTTATTTTTGTGTCACAATGGAGTGTTGACAATTTGGGAGAGGACAGGGAGGTTTCTCAAGGAGGAAAAAAAAAATTAGTGCGAAAGCTAAAAAGCACAGTTGACTGGGAGGTGAAAGAGTATGGGGAAGGCTAGGCATGCATTGTGTGTATCATTAACAGTGAACTTAGCATTTCCTTTGTAGTCGTTTCTATTGTGGAGCAATGATGAAGAGGATAGGTGATTATTGGGGTGTGTGTGTGTGTGTGTGTGTGTGTCTTTGGTTCCTCAGGCTTTTTATTAATGACCTGTAGGATTTGTGTTCTTTCCCCCCTGTGTTTAACTGCATTCTATCTGTTGGTGAATTCATTGTGGGTAATGGCCTGTATACCCTTCGAGGTTCAGGATGTATGATGGGTAGCAGGCAGGAAGGGCAAGGCGATGAGCAAGAGCTTGTACAAACTAATACTACCCTTGGGAGAGCTGAAATGACAGCTCATTAGCTCCTCTGGTGGGGAAATTCAGCCAACCAAAGTAAGCCTTTCTGGAATGTTGGTGTTATTTTTTTTTTCTTTTCCATATGTTTTCAAATATTTGACAGGCTACACAAATGTTACCTTTCTAAGCATTCCTCACACATCTTGTAGGTCTCTTCCACTTCCCCCTTATGAGGTAGGTAAATAATTTGCTTGGCCTTTTCTTTTCCAGACAGCTCCTGGGGTACATAAAAGATTTTTCCGGAAAATAAAAAATCTCATTTCAGCATTTCAGAAGCCAGATCAAGGCATTGTAATACCTCTGCAGTATCCAGTTGAGAAAGAAGAAGCCCCCTGCTAGAACTACATCAGGTACTCCAGGTATGATCTCTTGGTAATTTCTGACAGAGTTTAGAAGTTCAGAATTACGACTCAATTTATTCACAACCATGTAGTTGTATGAAGAAGTCTTGTAAGAAAAAAAAAATGAGACAGCGAGTTGTCATGGTCAGCAAAACAAGGGGGACAGGTAACTATTTACATGCTGTGAGAATACCAGAAGGATAGCTAGTGTTTTATTGGCTATGTAAAGGCATTTGACTGTGTGGAACAAATTATGGCTAACATTGAGAAGAATCCCATAACACTTAATTGTGATCTTATGGAGCCTATACCTAGACCAAGAAGCTATTGTAAGAACAGAGCAAAGGAACACTGTAAGGTTTAAAGTCAGGAAGGCTGCTTGTCAGGATTTTATCCTTTCTCCATACCTATTCAAACTGTACACTGAGCAAAAAAATGTGAGAAGCTGGACTCTATGAAGAAGAATGTGGGGATCAGAATTGGAGGAAGACTCATCAACAATCTGCATTATATAGCTTGCTAAAAGTGAGCAGGACTTAGAATGCTTGCTGCAGAAGATCAAAGACTGCAACCTTCAATCTGGATTGCTTCTCAACATCAGGAAGACAAAAATCCTTATCAGAGAATTTATAAGCAACATCATGACAGAGGAAGAAAAGACTGAAGTTGTCAACAACTCCATCTTACTTGGATCCACAATCAACACCCTTGGTAACAGCAGTCAGGAAATCAATAGACATTTTGCATTGAGCAAATCAGCTGTCAAGGACCTCTCCAAATTATTGAGGAGCTATGATGTCAGTTTGAGGACTAATGTGTGCTGAATTCAGGCCACGGTCCTTCCAATCACTTGCTAAGCATTTGAAAGTTGGACAATGAATAATGATGACAGAAGAATTGACACCATTGAGTTTTGATGGTCAAGAGTAGTGCTGACTATCCCATGGACGGCCAAAAGAATGAACAAGTATATCTTGGAGAAAGTGCAGCCAGAGTGCACCTTGGAGGCAAAGACGACAAAGCTCCATCTCACAAACTTTGGGCATGTTACTAGCTGACACTATTCTTTGGAAAGGGACATCATGTTTGGAAAGGTGGAGGGTCAATGAACAAGAGGAAGACCCTTAATGAGACGGATTGACATGGAGACTTCAGCAATGGCCTCTAGTGTGTCAGAGGTGATGAGGATGGCACAGGATAGGACAGGGCTCAAATCTCAACTTGATGGCACCAAACAACAAAGAGAATAGCTACAGAACCTTTCAATGATACTTTGAACGACACAGTTTTGTGGTTGGCTGGTAATGGAAAGGTTGGTGGTTTGAACCCAGTGGACAAAGTAGTCCCAGTAGGACAAAGTCCTGGCAATCAGTTTCTGTGAAGGTTCAAATTCTTGTTGCCATTGAGTTTGGATCTTTCAGTGGGTTTCCAAGGCATTTTCATCGCATGGAAGACACGGGTGCTGCTGAATTCCACCCGCCAGAGAGGGGAAGCCTTTGACTTAGCAGCACAGCTGCCTAGAAACTGCACCACCGGAGAGTCCTCTGTAAAAGTGATCACAGTAAAAAAACAACAACCCAGTGGGAAAGCTCTACACTATGAGGTCTGTCTCTGATAGAATTAGCTCGATGGCACAGGAAAAACATAGCCTGCGACCAACTGGTAACAGGGCTTTGCAAAAATACAAAACATTCTGTGCCACTGGTAGCATAGTGAGTTAAATGTTAGACTGCTAACGGAAAGGCTAGTAGTTCAAGCCCACCAGTCGCTCGGCATGAGAAACATGAAGCAGTCTCCTGTTAAAAGTCACAGTCTTGGAAACCCAAAAAGGGGTCACCGTGAGTCAGAACTCACTCAAAGGCAGTGAATTCATTGTATCTGCTTTTTTTTCCACTCACCTGGTGGTACAGCGGTCACGTGTTAGGTTGTTAACTGAAAAGTGAGTGGTTCAAATCCACTAGCTGCTCCAGAGGAGACAACTGTGGCAATCTCCTCTCAAGGGTACAGCTTTGGAAACCCTATGGGGCAAGTCTTCTCTGTCCAGTAGGGTCACTGGGAGTTGAACTGACTGGATGGTAGTGGGTTATGTTTTCTAGGGTGCACCTCAACTTGATCTCTCTACCCCTTTTTGGAGATACACAAGTTTCATTTCACTTCACTAGTTCAGACCCCAGTGATTTGAAAGATGGGATAGTTCAGAGAATATCCTTTGCCTCTTCTTAGTCAGTTCTTTCCTCTTTGAAGCGAATGTTGGCCAGACCCACGTGACTCTGACTTGGGAATTGTGGTGCTCAAATGAATGAAATCTTATTATAGCAAAGGATATTAAATGAGTCAACTTTATTATTACTCTGCCACAATTTGTTACATCTCCTGAACAAAGTTATTAGAGGGTGTATGTGTCAAGCTAGAGATAGAATAGCAGCCAAATGTCTGCAACGGTCTGATATTATTCTTCTGTTGAAAGGTGTTAGCCACTTGTTTGGAGTAAGAGGATGTGCCTTGATGGAAAAATAACTACTTGGGATAAGAGAATATGCATTGTTATATCCTTTTTGACAAGGTCCCAGGCTCAGGCAGGCATAAGCTGACAATTAGACTCAAGTGGTTGAAATAAATTAATGAATGTTGTTGTTGTTGTTTTTGTTATGTGCTGTCGAGCTGCTTGCGACTCATAGCGAACCTACGTACAACAGCCCTAAACTCTGCTCTGTCCTGTGCCAATTGCAACTGTCTCTGACACTCCCATCCCGATTACCCCAGTCACTGAATCAATCCACATCATAGAGGGCCTTCCCTCCTGCACTGTCCCTCCACCCTACCAAGCATGATGTCCTTCTCCAAAGACCGGTCTTTCCTTACAACATGTCCAAAGTATGTTAGACGGAGCCTCAAAATCCTTGCCTGCAAGGAGCCACCCGGTTTAACCCTTTCCAGGATGAATCTGTTTGTTTTCCTAGCAGTCCATGGTACTCTCAATACTCTTCTCCAGAACCACAGCTCAAAGGCATCAATTCTTCTCTCCTCCTTGGTCATTGTTCAACTCTCTGATGCATAAAAGTGATTGCAAAGCCTGCATCAGACGCAACTTAGTCTCCAGAGAGACACCATTGCTCTTCAGTACTTTGGAGAGGTCCCTAACAGCAGACTTTCCCATGGCAATATGTCTTTTCATTTCCTGGCTGCTGGTGCCAAGAGTGTTGACCGTGGAGCCAAGCAAACTAAAGCTGTGAACAATCTCAATCTCTTCACCACCCATCCTGATGCTGCCAATTGGCCCAGTGGTGAGAATCTTTGTATTCGTGACATTGAGTCTCAATCCATATTGAAGGCTGCAGTCCTTGAGCCTCCGCTGCAAGTGCATGAGGTCCTCCTCAGTTTCAGCAAGTGGGGTTGTGTCATCTGCATATCGCAGATTGTTCATATATCATCCACCAATCTTGACCCCACATATCTCCTCATAGAGCCAGCCTCCCAGATAATCTGTTCTGCATACAGGTTGAAAAGGTCTGGAGATAGGACGCATCCCTGGCTTACGCCCTTCCCAATTTTGTGCCATGCAGTGTTCCCTTGCTCTGTTCTGAAGACTGCCTCCTGGTCCAAGTATAGGTTTCGCATTAGAACGATCAAGTGTTCTGGGATTCCCATTCTTCTCAGAGTCAATAGTTACCCTCAATAATAGGCATGCAAATAGAACCCTAATTTACCTAAATTAGGTTCTTTTCATCTCAATATTCTATTTTTAAAAGATAATTCTATTTAAAATATTAGTTGCTTGAGGCTTATGTGCTGTATCACTGTGACTTAAGTAAAATTGGAAAATTTATGATTACAAGTGTGAGTTAAGGAGCTCTGTCTAAGTGGTTGACTGATAACTGAAAGTTTGTTGTTGTTGTTGTGTTATCATCAGATCCGACCCATAGCTGGCTCTGTGGAGGGTTTTTAGAGGCTGTTAATTTCATGGGAGGAGATTGCTCTCCTTTCTCCTGGGGAACAGCTCGTGGTCTCAAACTGCGTGCCTTTGGGATTGCAGCGCAGCTTCTTGCCCCTAGACCACCAGAACAGTTTGAAACTCTCGTGGCTCAATGGGAGAAAGAGGAAGCCATCAGCTCCTGTGAAGACTAAAACAATCCAAAATATACTCACTCAAATGCATTGTCCTGGAATTGGAATCAACCCATGGCTGATCATCCAATGGGTTTCTGGAAGCTGTAAATCCCAGGAGTGGAGATTACCTATCTTTTTCTCGTGGAGTAGTTGGTGGAATCGAACTGCCAGAGAGGCATTGCTGTTTGGGTCATCAGCACAACTTGCTATGAACCGCTCCACCAGCCCTTCTTCCTTAAAGATTTACAGCTTTGTAAACTCTATCGGGTAGTTTCACTCTATCCTATCACTATGAATTGGAATCAACCCATTGGTGCAACCAACAAAGTTCTAGTTAGCTTGTTTTATTGGTAATTTAATCTTGATTCTTAAATTCTTTTTCTTTAGGGAGAAGAGAATATCCTGCTGTATACCTGAAAGCACCATGAAGAGAAAGAAAACACCTTGCTCTTTATTTTCAATAATTTAAACATTTGCTAAGTCAATGAGGCCGCCACTCACATTAGAAGCTGTCTCACTCTTTCTCACCCACCTTAATGTAAATGGAACTTCAACAGTGCAAATTTGTATAAATCTTTCTATAAAATGTACCCTGAAGAAGTTTGGGTTTAGTCAGCTTGCCAGCTGTCTGATTCTCTCACTCTTACTCTTTTTGCTTTTCTATGGCATGCCAGAATACACACTCTTTTCTTGATTTAAACACACACACACACACACACACACACAGAGAGAGAGAGAGAGAGAGAGAGAGTCTTGTATATTGTAGATAATACAATTCAGTGAGCTACAAATGCATTTCTAAACCCGTCATAGCCTTGTGATGGAAGCATCTAGCTTCATGGTAAAGCTGAAACGGACTTTGTAGATAATGAGCAGCGTTGAAATGATGATTGAGGTGGGGGGGAAAAACCCCATGAGGTTATTTTCAGTCATTGTGTTAAAAAAAGGGAACCAGTTTAAAGTCTACTGAATACTTTGTAAAAGCTTAATGTCAGTTCTTGCCACATAGAAATAAAACAATCCTAAGTTTTTGTCAGAGGTATCATTTTTAATGGAATATTATCTGAGAGTTACCAATTTAAAAATGCCCTGCTTGATTATATTGTAAGGAGCTTGTTTATGTATTCTCACGTGCAGTTCTACGTTGGGTACACGATGTTCCCCACTCGCTATGTGTCTTGGGCTCTTTGGGGATTTACTGAGCTCTGCACTATGTTAGAAAAAGTACCAGATGAAGACTGAAGAACTTCTGTTTTATTCTGAAAGCAACTTATTATTAAAAGTTCTGACATTGAACCGTAAAAGCCACAGACTAGTTTGAAGCTTTGTTGTTAGTAAGTGCCGTTGAGTCAAATTGAACTCATCACAACGTTGTAGGATAGAGTAGAACTGCCCTGTGAACACAGAGCAGCTTATGGTGGCATAAATTTGTAACCATTTGCATTTTCTTCTTATGGGTAGAGCAAGTTTCTTCTTACTTTATAGTGACTTTAGTGATTGATGACATGTCAAGTTGCTTCTGGGCTCATAGAATCCCTTTACTCATGAACCATAAGAAGAAATAGGGGATAAAGAAGTGAAAACACCTGGTCCCGGCCGGCCCACAGCCAGCTCACTGTCTAAGTTCCTAATAGGAGAACAATAAAAAGAAATAAAGACAAGGAAACAATAGCCCTAAACGGTGATAAGTCAAGTTCCCAGAGCATAGTGTCTTCAGAGAAAGAATGAGTCAACTTAAATTCTCTGATCCATATAGTCCACAGGCCAAGGCCAAGTCTCATGATAAAGGAAGGGACTGGAATTCTGGGTTACGTGGGAGTGTTAAGGAGCGTGGCTGATACTAGTGGACTACAGAGAAACAGAACTGGCAAAGTCTAATTTTTGAGCTTTAACATGGCTGCTTTGGACTTCCCTAGGGATGCAAATGGTTCAAATCCACCCAGAGGTGTCTAGTGATCTGCCTTGAAAGTCCTATGGAATAGTTCTCCTTTGACATGTGTGGGGTTGCTGTGACTTAGACTAGACACGCCAGTAACTAATGAAAGTGCAAAGGCCAGGTATGACCATAGTGATGCCTTAGAGGGGATTCACCATTTCTAGAAGTCAGAGAAAGCATCCATCATTTTGGAACTTGTGAAGGAATTCAGAGAGTAGACTTTCAAAATAACCTGCATATGTTTGAATCATTCTTCAGTATTTGTAGTTTTTTTCAATTTTAATAGATGTGACTCATTTTTACTCTAATTTGTTCAACCTGGAATTATCTTAAATACACGAATTAAGTTTGCATGTTCTTTTACCAGAACCCTTTTTGAAAAGTGCTTCTCCCCGTACTCATTAATTTCACTTTTAATAAAGTATTTGCAAATTGTATTTACCTAATTTGTCTTGAAATATGACTTTTAAAATATTTAGAGGCAGGTACTGTTTACCAGCAGTGAGGAAGTAAGGAGACACATTTCATTGGGAAAATCTGCAGTTAGGGACCTCTCCACATTATTGAGGAATAATGGTGTCAGTTTGAGGATAAGGAGCATCTCATTCAGGCCATGGTCTTTCTGATTACTTGCTATGTATTTGAGACCCGGACAATGAATAAGGATAACAGAAAAAGAATTGATGCCTTTGAGCTGTGGTGTTGGAGAAGAGCACTGAACATCCCATGGACGGCCAAGAGAACGAACAAATATGTCTTGGAGAGGGTTACAGCTGGAGAGCTCTTTTGAGGCAAGAATGATGAAGTTTTGCCTCATATATTTTGGACATGTTGCTGGGGTGGGGGGACTATTCCTTGGAGAGAGACATCCTGGGAACGGTAGAGGGTTAGGGAAGAGGAAGACCCTCAACAAGGTGGGTTGACATGGTGACTGCTGCAATGTGCTCTTGTGTGTCAGGAAGTGTGAGGATGGCGCAGGATAGAACAGGGTTCAGATCTTTTGTCCATAGGGTCACTATGAGTCACACTCGACTGGAAGGCACCGAACAACAACAACAACAACAACTGTTTAGATGCTAAACACAGCATCAAGGAAGGCCATCCTACTGACTCCTTGGGAAAAGATTTTGCTACTGTCGAACTTGCAAGCTGAGATGCCTTCCCCCTGTCTTCTTTGGCCTTTTTTTTATTCATCAAGTTCTGCCTTCTCCCCCCTTTAGTTCCCCCCTTTCCCAACCAGAGTATCTTCGCTAGTACATAATAACTTGCACCTTTACAGAAAGGTCACATCCTTGCCATATCTAAAATATGGCCGTGCTAACATATACCCGTAAGATGCTGAGTAAAGGGAGAAAAATGCACATATATTTCCAAGCATACACAGCTTTGCAAGGAGGGAAAAAGTGTCAGCCAACTCGTGAGGAACATGACAGCTTATCAAATACTTGTTCATTTCCTCTGAAATTTGTTCTTAGGAGATAAGGTCAGGAGGGTGACAAGCTTAGGTAATTGTCTGTTTGGCTGTTACAGGCAGAGGACCTTTGTGGTAGCACATAGGTAGAAAACGTCAACAGAGAATGCCTCTGATTAAGTCCTCTGGGATAAACATAGGACTGAACTTAGGTTGTTCCTTGTGGCGGAATGGAGTGTGTGTGTGTGTGTGGGGGAAATTAAAAATGTGAGAATCAGCCTTAAAATCTGTTACAGTGTATTTAGGCATCAGCTTATATTTTATTTGATTCACTTTACTGAGCTCCAAATCCAAAGTCTATTAATAATAAAACCCAGCTTTGCCCTTGAGCACGCCAAGGTTACGAGATGCCTGGCGTTCCTGTTAGGGTGCTATAAATTCAACTTTGTCACCTGTGTTTGCCCTTGCAATTAAATAGGACACCATTGTGTTGCAGTTTGCAGCCAGTGGGGAAGTCAAACTACCCAGTTTGGGCACTTTTCTAATTTGGGGCCACTGTCAAAGCTGAAGTAAAAAGCTGAATTCTCATTAGGTTGCTTGTCTTGAAAGCAAACATTTTCCATGCAGAAAGATGTAATAAACCTCTTTGTCTGGTCTGGATAGAGCCTTTCAATGTATGGCTCTCTCTCTTCCTGCCCCCCCCCCCATTCACCTCCTGCTTCTCTCTCAAGTTTTAAATTTTATTCTTTTTTTTGGTGTGTGTGTACCGTCAAATCAGATCTGACTGGTACAGGAGGAGATTGTCCCTCCTTCTCCAGCAGAGCATCTGGTGGATTTGAACCACTTACCTCTGGGATTGCAGTGCAGCCTCTTGCCACTAGGCCACCAGAGCTCCCTCTCTTTCTCTCTGTGTGTGTGTGTGTGTGTGTGTGTGTCGGGGGGGTTGGGGGGGGAGACACGATCAGTATAGGGAGCTCTGCTGGCATAAAACGTGAGCAGTTGTGCTTCTGGGGCTGAGCCCCTCTCGTGTGGCTCAGGGGGAGAGAGAAAGATGGGTGATCTCCTCCTGTGAAAATTCCAGGCTTGGAAACTGTGATGAAGGGTCAGGTACGAGTCAGCTCCAACTTGATGGTAATGAGGGAGTGAGTGATGGTCAGTACTGGACAGAGAGAGTTGTTGTTGTTGTGCACTGTAGAGCCAGAACCAACCCACAGCTGACCCTCTGGCGGGTTTTCAGAGGCAGTTATTTACAAGGGAGGAGATTCCCATCCTTCTCCCACAGAGCAGCTGGTGGCCTCGAACCACATGCCCTCAGAGAGAGTCGAAGCAGGAATGTATGAGACCAGAATCTTCTCTTCAGCTTTGCCACTGACTAGCCACATGACCTTAGATAAATCTATGTTTCCATTAATATACTTTTCCAAATAGGAAGAATTAAATGTTACTAACTTTCTGGGGCTATTTGAGGCACTAGAATTATATAACTTACCTAACTAGTGGTGATAGTCAAAGAATCTCCCAAATTAAGAGTTAGTGGAGAAAGGATATGGAAAAAAAAAAATCTGTTATTCCTTTTAATAAGTCATTTAATGTGAGAGTACACCCTCGATCCTTTTATACTCTGAGGAGGGTATTTTGAAAACAAGTAAACAAAACCCCCAAGTCCCTATGCATTACTATCATGCCTGAACCCTCGTGTAATACAAATAGGCCTCACTGCTCCTGTGTGGTTGTGCTGAGACTCCCAACACCATCTTCTGCTCCATGAATCTTTTGACTGTCGTGAAAATCCACTGCTATTGAGTTGATTCTGACTCTTCGTGACCTTCCATCAGATTTCTGAGGCTGTAAATCGTTATGGGAGGAGGTTGACCATCAGTCTTCCAAGGGGTCACTGGTGGATTTGAACCACTAGAGTGGAACAGCCTTTGGGTTAGCAGGGCAACTTGCTATGGACTATACCATCAGAGCTCCCTCTTTGTACCATCTCTGTGTATGCATCAGTGACTAAAGAGGCAGCAGGCATTTTGCAATGCAGAAAATTCCAGGACCGTGGGCAAATTTAAGTAATGGACTGTTTT